CCGCCGACACTGCGCGAGCAATCCTACGTTACATTCCGCCGTTAATATTTCTTATGAAAAAAACAGCGAAATCATTTTATAAAAATAATACGAATACCTTCACAAAAGCAGATGCGCGGCTCTTCGTCTCTCGCAAGAAGTTGCTGTACCCTAAGCAGATGCGCGGCTCTTCGTCTCTCGCAAGAAGTTGCTGCACCCGTTGAAAATGATACGGATACAGTCCGTTGCGGCGTAGGGTACTGTGCACCGCATGTTGGGAGAGACCGAGGGCATGAGCAACACGACGTATGCTGTTCCTGGGGTTTTCTTCAAACGCTTCCAGGATTCTCTCTTCATCTTCCACGCGAATAAGTAGTCTTCTATCGTATTGCCTTGTCCGCAACACTGATCCCGTTTCCTGAAACCGTTGAACACATCTCGAAATAACGTTTGCGTCGGGATGTCTTTCGCGCGCGGGAAATCGTTCCGCGTACAGACGGGCGGCGATAACACAACGTAAGCACTTGATGCCGCGAAATTGTCGTCTAGTTGCCAAAGACGATTAACTTGCTCGTGCAACTGACGGTTCGTCACTACCGCGTGATTAGATTGCACCTTCGGGAGTAAGCTCGCCCTGCCGAAGCGGCCTGCCAGAATCCAACCTAATCTGGTCTTTTGTAGCAATGGATGACTGGTTGAACCGCTTATTTGTCCGACACATAGCAACTCCCAGACCAACTCGGCCCCTATCAGCATGTCAATTTCAGAGGAGACGTTAAAGTTCGGGTCAGCCAGTGGTATATTGCGAGGAAGCTTCAAGGCAGTACGCTTGAATGAAACCACCGGAAGGTTCTCGGTCATTTTGTCTGAAATGATGCATTCAATTATGGCAGTGTATGAGCTTATGCGAGACTGTAATCGTATCCTAGCAACTTGAGTGGATGTCGTCGCGGAACCGTTCACGCCGGTGATGGTAACATTTAATGGCCGAGGCTTCAGGCCGAGAGTCTCTAAAAACTGTTTAGAAATGAAATTGGCCTGCGAACCGCAATCTAGTAGCACGCGACATGGTCGGGGGGTGCCCCGGGAATCGAACGCGAAAACGACGGCCGTTGATAGAAAGACGTCGTTACCGTCGGAAGCATGTGAGGCGTGAGTGGACGTAACTTGGGTGGGGTTGGCAGTCTTAGAATTTTCGGACCCGTTACTACTCTGTCCTGTGGCTGCCAAGTGGGCCGACGTTGAATGCAAGAGGGTGTTATGCCTAACTTGACACACCTTGCATTTGCCTGAAGGGCATTTGCCTGCATTGTGAGATGTAGATCTCAGCAATTGGTGCAAAGTTTTCGATTGCGTACTTCGACGTTTCTTTGCGGAACGGAAAGGGCTAGAAAATCCTTGCAGTAATAAATTGAGTGTTCTTCCTTGCAATAGTTGCATTTTGTTTTAATTGTCGCGGGACAAGCTAATTGACGTTTCGAATCAGATTGGGAATTTTTGGCGGCCCCTTTTGCAGCATTGTTACTTGACTTGGTACTTGCTTCCAAAGCTTGACAATGATGATTAAGAAAATCGAAGAACTGTTTGAGAGTGGGAAGATCGGATCCTGCCAAGGACTGCCACTCGCGAGCTGTACACGAATCGAGTTTTGAAGTCAATATGGCAATTAATATATCGTCCCATTTGTCACATGGTCGTTTCAAGACTTGAAGCGCGTGCAAATGCTTGGCAGCTCCATCCGAGATCTGCCTTAACTCGAGATAGTTTTCTTTAGTTAGCGACGGCAATTCCATTATCGCTCTAATGTGATTTTGTATGACAACGCGTTGATTATCGTAGCGCTCCCTGAGGCGCGACCATGCGACTTCGTAATTAGCATCAGATAATTCTAACGAACAGATAATGTTACTTGCTTTACCGATAACCGACGATTTGAGGTATTGCAATTTTTGTGCGTTACTGAGCGCGGAATTCAGGTGTATAACGGCATTGAACATATCTGGGAAGGGAAACCATTCATCATACTTGCCCGAGAAACTCGGAAGACTTAATTTTGGAAGCCGCACGTGAGATAACGATTCGGTAGCCCCCGACGAATTAGAAGTCGATGTTAAAACCGCACTTGACCCGCGTATCGACGGCGTGGAAATTGTTAGTTCTCTGATTCTAGCGGCCAATGAATAGAATGCCTCCTCGAATGTAATGCGATCATTGACCTCGGCATCGTCAGTGAGCTCTAGTTTGGTTTGAACCACGTTGTACTCAGTCCAATAGTTTTCTAGTTTATCTTTACGCTCTTCGAGTTGAGGTATCACTAATGCGGAAGGCTGATTTATTGAGTCCACGTAAGTTTTGATACGCGTGCAAGAAGCCTTGATAAGCCCGCGTTGTTTTCTCAGAATAGCGAGATCTTGAACCGACATAATGGCGCGATTCACAATAAATAGCGGATTACCACGAGATTGAGCGGCAACAACACCAAAAAACTTTCCTTATCTCGGTTGTGCGCGTACGCACATGCGCAACGAACGTCCGCGTCGACTGTCGTTTCCCTCGATAGTGAGGTCCCGTTGGCAGCGATGTCTGCTGCGTGCTGCGCTCTTGCTCTGGTGGCGACTGCTTGGCGAAAAAACGTCGTCGGAAATGCGTGAGCCTCTGATGTCCGCGGGATGAACTCAGGCAAAATGGCCGCTTCCTGGCGTTGCCCGCGCTGTCCTTGTAGCGCGCGGCGTCCCTCCTTGCACTCGATTCGACTTTGTGTCAGGTGCGACGGCCCTTGACCCTGTCTTATGATGAGATTTCGAAATTGGAACTGGAAGGTTCCAGCTTGCGTATCGTGGTAATACTTCGTTGGACACTCGTTTGCTGTCGTGTCAATATGGCGGTTCTTTGTTACACCGCGTGCCTGGAACTTTCTAGACTGCGTGTAGCAATGCGTTCTCGAGGCACTGGTTATCCTCCTGCTTGACTGCTGCGACACCGAGTGGGATACTACTGCCGGAAATACATGCAAATCCGGCTCGAAGGACCAAAATGATGTTTGATATTCTTGTGACGTATTCACTGCGACCACGCGAACTTCCACACTATTTTCGCGGATATCGTGCCGGCGAGATTGTAGCCGAGAAGGCTGACTTCTTCTCTCTATTTTGTTCAGTGCACCCTCGGTAATCGAACGGAGAATTACAACGCGTTAACGTTTGACTTGATGCGCTGTATGATACGGAACTCGATCGATGTGACGGGATCGATGTCTATCGGAAATCTATCTATGTACGGCGCGGTCCAGCAAGACTACGCGAGGACGCGGAAGGATCACGCGCGCATGCGCGCACGAAATTCGCACTACTTCTCTCGGGCGATCAATGGAAACGGCGCGATGATAAGTTAATGGTCGCAGCGCGACCGAACGCGACGAAGGGCCCTATCAATATCGAACAATTCCTATATATTCAAAATATGAATATAGCTCTGGATGAATTTTGTTCCCTGAAGCAAAACTAATCTGTTTTTTAAACTTTTAAGCCGCAAGTTTTGTTTTGCGTGCCATCCCTGCATTGAACTGAGTTTATTAATGCTAAAAAACGAGAGTTTTGTGTCGGTATCTTTAATGATGTTTCTAAATTTTTCCAAAATAGATTGTACATATGGAATAATGAACCAACTCGTTTTTTCTTTTTCTATGTTCTTATTTGAAGAATCATTATTCCTATTTGTGATTTGATTGAGAGTTTTCTTATTATTTAAAACTTTAATTCTTTCTTGTATTATATCAAAAATCAAATTTAGTGGATAATCGTTATCTAATAAAATTCTAACTACCTGTTCCAGATTCTTTTGATGGAAATCAGGGTGTGAAATTAAGAAAATTTTATCAACCATCCCAATAACAGTTCCTTTTTTTTGAATATCGGATGTTGAGACTGGTGTGTAATTAAGATATCTCCCAGAAAACGTAGGTTTGTGATATATGTCAAATTTGATGACATTGTTAGAAATAATAATGGTGGTATCTAAAAAATTGATAGCTTTATTGCCAATTTCACATGTGTATTGCAATCTAGGATGATAAGAATTAAATTTTTATAGCACAAAGTTGGCTTCAGTTGAAGGGGTAGCCATGATTATATCATCAACGTATCTGTAATAGAAATGGATATCAAAATTAAGAGTCTTCAACACTTGTTCCTCTAAGTCCTGCATTATAATATTGGCTAGTATTGGAGATAATGGGGAATCCATAGGCGTGTCGAATTTCTGTTTGTAAATCTGGTTATCAAAAAAAAATATGTCGAAAACATAATCTATTGTGTGTGTGAAGCTGGCGTATCATTTGGTGGTAACTCATAAAATATTGAGAGTTCTGAACGTATTTTCAATAGTTCTATAGTTCTAGATGTATAAAACTAATAGTTCTGCCCTCTAAAGTGAAAAAAAAGTGAAAGTACAAACTGAGACGCCAGGTTCACGCAGCGTCTTACTTTGTCCTACGCAAATTTTGACCATAGATTCTTGTAGGATTTTGAAAAACAAAAAATTCTAGATGAGTTTCCGAAAGAGTTCTGGCGATAAATAACGTTATTTTTAATTTTTAATAATATTTTAGCCCAAAAGTACAATTTTCAGCAATAAAGATGAGATGCTGACCAATTACCGACAGTCCTAAGAGTTCTGTGATAATTTTTGTGCAATACTGAATGTATGCTAACGCCTTCCAAAGAGTTCTGATGAAAAAATTATTTACAAATTTTTTAAACAATTTTTAATACCCGAGAAAAACGCTTTTTAGGTTATATGTGTGAGACGCTGGTCGAAATCAGAGAGTTCTGTGAGACATATTGTGCTTATCGTGTAGCTACGGATTTATGCTAACGCCTTTCGAAGAGTTCTGATGATAAAAATTATTTACAAATTTTTTAAACAATTTTTAATACCCGAGAAAAACGCTTTTTAGGCTATATGTGTGAGACGCTGGTCGAAATCAGAGAGTTCTGTGAGACATATTGTGCTTATCGTGTAGCTACGGATTTATGCTAACGCCTTTCGAAGAGTTCTGATGATAAAAATTATTTACAAATTTTTTAAACAATTTTTAATACCCGAGAAAAACGCTTTTTAGGCTATATGTGTGAGACGCTGGTCGAAATCAGAGAGTTCTGTGAGACATATTGTGCTTATCATGTAGCTACGGATGTATGCTAACGCCTTCCGAAGAGTTCTGATGATAAAAATGTCTTGGTACTTGCTTCCAAAGATCTATTAGCACATATGTCTCACAGAACTCTCTGATTTCGACCAGCGTCTCACACATACATATAGCATAAAAAGGGCCTATTTCGCGACTTAAAAATTGTTTTAAAAATTTGTAAATAATTTTTATCATCAGAACTCTTCAGAAGGCGTTAGCATACATCCGTAGCTACACGGAAAACACAATATGTCTCACAGAACTCTTTGATTTCGACCAGCGTCTCACACATATAGCATAAAAAGGGCCTATTTCGCGACTTAAAAATTGTTTAAAAAATTTGTAAATAATTTTTATCATCAGAACTCTTCGGAAGGCATTAGCATACATCCGTTTTTCGTATTAAATGTAGCTGACAGCCAGTGTTATTAGCAATACTTTAATTGTGGAGAAGGACTTTTTAATCCGTAAGTGCAATTAAGAGAAATGGCCGCAGCACAGACTCTTGCATAACGCATAATGCATAGTGCATGAGGGAATCAACCAATCGAAATTCTTCTTTTCCATGGAATGAGAGGAAAGGAAAACTTCTGATTAGTTGATTCGCTTATGCACTATGCGTTGTGCATTATGCAAAAGTCTGTGCTACGGCCAAAACGGATCGAAGAAAATTAATCACACTTCATCGGTAAAATAGGACACTAGAACATCCTCTCAAGTGTAAAAGATCATACTGGACATGGTATAAATCATGGTGGAAATACGTAAGGTGAGTCATTCCCACGGATGCGCAGTAGCTCAAAAGTAGAAGGGAGCAGATAGCCAATCACATTTGTCCCATTTCTTGAAAATAAAAAATGGCTGACGACATGGTGTCACTAGAGATAATCTAACCTAAAACAATTTCAGTTTGGAATTCAGTTTAAGGATAAGGTTATTAAAAAGGTAAGGTATTAAGGTTATTTGATTGTACCTACACTTTATTTTAATTTGAATAATATATTTGTTATTTTAATAAAAGATGTTTTTATTTCCAATGGTGCCCGTTTCACGTATAAAAAATGGGGTAAAAGTGATTGGTTAATATTCCATATCCTCCACCTTTTGCCGCTATTATGCACAATGACTCGCTTTACCCCGGATCTACAATAGGGTTTTAAGCCTTAAGCCATAAGAAATGGGCGAATCACAGTCGCTTATTCTTCTCGGATTCGACTGTAATTGGTCAGTTTCTTACGGCATAAGGCATAAAACACCTATTGTAGATCCGGACTTATGTATTTCCACCATGGTATAAATATAAGGATATGCTCGACCGGTGCTCTTGCGCATGGTAACGCCCAGTAACCAATGAGTATTGACATCTTGCTACGTCATAACTATGTCATTACGCGGCAAATTAAAAATGAAGTAAACCATGGTAGCATCAATTCATTAAGATGAATGAAAAGATTTTATGAGAATGATGAGTAATAAGTATAAATTTGTGTAATTATTTTTGCATTATTTCGGTAATTATTTTTGCATTCTTTCACTGCACAAACACTCATTGTAGCCAGACGGAACGGCTCCAAGAGCCGTTATGACAGCCAATGATGCCAATTTAACAGTTTTCCAGTAGATCTAGCGTTTTTTCAGTGATGCAAATTTAGGCCGTGGTCCAATTCATGCTGACAACGCTCATGAACATCGTTTGTCTTCGTTTAACATTTGACAAACAATAAGGATGAAATGATTTTTAAGCGTTGTGAAAGTGAATCGGACCGCGGCCTTAGCGGTTTTCCAGCTAGATCTAGCGTTTTTTAGGGTGCCTGTACATGCGGCGTACTTTGCGTAAGCGTAACTTGCGACAGCCAATCAAATCGTTTCATTTATCATACGCAATCCACTTAGTTTTTTCTACGCTTTTTCCCAATACGCCAAATTCAATTTTTCGCGTAAACTGATGAATGTTTGTATATTAATGATACGAGTATGTATATTTCTGAGAGATCACCGAATAAAATTTCGATTTTAATTTAAAAAAGATGGATCAAATTCGGGTAAAGTAACATTCTTCTAAGAAATTCTATATAAAGTTTCTAAAAATAATTTTTTTTTAATATTTGAACGTAATTTAATACATCGCTTGCACAGTATAACAAAATAATTTAAAGATTATGTCCAACT